TCAACATTTTCCATGAATCAATATTTGATATGGAATGTTTAAAAAATGTTTCAATAGTTGTTTTCAAAATTTAAAAAGAATTTGATCCACTGAAATAACAAATAACTTAATATTTTTCACAGCACAGGCACTTCTTGTTTAGTGACCACTCAGAAATATGATGTCAATTTTAAAAAATCATTTTCTGACCAGTGTCTGCATTTATCACCAAATTTCAGAGCATGAAACTGATTAAGGCCTGGTCAATTTGGGGTAGCAGTATGAGCTGGTGGAAAAGTTCTAATAAACTAATTAAGATCATAGAGCTAAGCCTGTTCACTTGAGGTTAGTATTTTTTAGGGAAGCACTACGCTGTGGAGGAAAGCAACAGGGGAAGAAATACATTATTTAAGCAATTTCTCTGCTCTGCAATGGCATAAAAGGGGGGGGATAAAAAAAATGAAAAAAGGGGGGAAATAGATCATGCACAGAACACTATATGAGAGACCTTTATCTAAATGAACCACCAGTGATCTTTGCAACAACTCTTTCTCTCTCAATCACATGTTTGTCTAGTGACCATTTACAGCTGATTGACCATTTAGCTACCAATTTAAGGAATGGATTTTGGTTGTTAAACAAGGAGATGGTGTATACAGTATTGAGACAATTTATGTATAGCAGTGGTTTCCAACCTTTTCTATACCCCGCACCCATAGAACGCTTCTGATATATTTGAAATAGCAATGAATTATGCATATACACTATCATTTTGAAATTTCTAAACTGAAGTTTTCGCACCCCCTGGAATATCGTCTCACACCCCCGCCTGGGAACCCCTGATATATAGGGATTCATAAGCTCCACATATTGAGTAGATATAATCAACTTACCTCTTTGGCCAACTCAAACTTAATAGTTCAATTTGAACTAGCTTAGAACAAAATATACCTTCTGGATGAAAAGCTAATTATTAGTAATACATTAAACTAATATGCCACCTGACTCTGAACAAGTTGGCAGTGGAAATTACAATAAAATCAATAAAACATAAAAAGAGAAAGATAAAAGATAGCAAGTGCTATGGAAAAAGGGCTTTCACTCTCCCTCTTGAAAGGTCTGGGTGAAGATGGCTCTTTTAAACAACAGCAAAGTGGGGAGGCGGGAGTAAGAAATCCAAATCACAGGGGGAGTCTCATTCCAGAAGCAGGCACCACTACAGAGAAGGGGCACTTTTAAAAATATGTTTAGTAAGAATTTTAATTACAATAATAAAACTAATACAAACTAAACTTAGAGAAAGAGAAGAGAATGAAAAAAAATAATAGTGTAGGAAAAAGAAATATAAAGAAGTGACTTCAAAACTTTATCACAAGCATCAAATTTAACAAATCTTCACTCTTATAAGGTTAAACAAGTAACTCTTCATTCTACATCCCAATCCTTTATCTATAAGCAAATCCATAAAATATTAACTTTTCTATCCCGGTGTCAGCAGAAAATTCATAAAGGATTGTCTGAACATTGCAAAAAATGATTTATTTCAACCTTGATCAAATAAGCCACCTTTATATTCCTTCCTTTTTTTCTAAGTGTCTTATTTTTTACATCAAGCAAATATTGTCATAGCTGTTTTCTCTTTAATTCTTCATTCTATCACACAAATCTCTTCAGATTTTTGACAAGCCTCCTTTTGTAGATCGAATCAGAAAATATCTTCCAGGTCATTTTCTTGGTTCATCATTTGTAGTTCCCTTTTAATTTTTAAAACTTCAGTTTCTTTTGTATATCTAATTTCTATGTCATAATATTATTTCTAGTCAATTTTTCTAATTAAGCTCCTTTATTTTATTTTTGTCTCCTAGGGTACTAGGCCCAAGTAACTAATTATCCAATTTATGATTACCCCAACACATTATGTCACACATTTTGATGAGAAACCATTTATGAACACTGTTGAAGTATGATTTCCAATTAAGTATCAATTAAATGGTCATGCCAACCAGATTACAATTAAGCAGTTTGCTAATTAGACTGTCATGGGATACTTTGTCACATACTCTGCTTAGATTAAGATGTATTATCCCTGTAGCTTTCCCAAAATCTAAACTGCCTGACCAAAAACGTGATTAACTTAGCAATGACTTGGACATGATTGAAGGGAAATAAATCCAATACAGTTGATTTGATAATCTAGGATGCAATTTATCTGACTTAAATTCATTCAAAATAAATTGGCATTCTATAGCTATTTTTTGATCAGTAACAAGTTTTAATTCTATCCGTTCATCTGGCTTTTCATACATGCTGTTTTGTTGGAGAAGAGTGAGCACAGTGAGTGATGGCTCCATTTTCTTGTTTTATCTTGGTTACTGGCTACTATTTTGTCATTATCCTAAGGTTACAGTAGCTGGTATATTATTCTTTTTTCCTTTATTTTATTTTGAACATAAATTGAACTTTATTTATTCATATGTTCTTTTTGCTTAGGTAAGCTAATATAAACAATTTCATTGTTTCAAATTCAAATTCAATTGAAATTTCAATTTGAAATTCGAATTTGAAATTCATTCAACACTTCATTATGTTTTCTACTTGCTTTAATATGGATGCTTTCTATAGTATAGTCAATTTCATTTATGTCTGAGGAAATATGGATATTATAAGGTTCAGTGCTCTTTTCATTGAATAAACTATATTTTTCAATTGTTTAACTATGGGATTCATTTCACAAAAATGGCTATACAAATTTTAAAAAAGGAATATATGCACTTCCAAAATCTCAATAAAATATCTAAGTACATCTAGAAAGTAAAAGATAGGATAGCTGATGTTATTAAAGCTTAGTTTCTGGAAATCTGTGATACTCTCACTTTGCTCTCACTAAGAAACCAGTAGTGGTAGAATAAATGTCTTAATGATTAGTAAAAAAAAAAAAAACACCCTTTATTTGGATGTAGAAAATGATTTGTAAGCAAATGTATGCGTCTATTTGTAATAAATAACACATTCTTTCTTTCTGGAATGAAAACAATTGATAGGAAATTTACCTGATGTACCAAAAGTTCTGCTACTTCTACATGATTATTGAGTGCTGCCAAATGCAAAGCAGTATATCCATCGTCTTTTTTTTCGTCTACAATCCATGGTCTTGGAAGCTTAGACAGTAACACTCGCATTGCACTGAAACAGGAAAAAATGTAAAGGATTATATCCTGTATTCTAGAAGGAATACAATTTTCTGTTTAAGTATAACATCCCAAAACTCAGTGATTAGATTGCCAGGAGTTTTTATTATTACTGAAAAACTGATTTTATATGAAATACTATCCATTCTATTAAACCTTAACATTCTTTCTCAATGAGATAATGTAATGGAATCCATATAAATACATTAGGTATTCTAGTGATCCATGTCCAGTTCTTCCGAGTTTTATTCATATTGTCTTACACATCCCCACATAAGTATATTAAGTTTAATATATTTCAGTACTAATAGCTATTTTACAATCATTAATATGGTAATGATTTAATTCCCCTGAACTCAATAGTGCTTACTTCTGAGTAAATATATGTATAATTTCATAATAAAATGCATTTTTCAACTATCATACTCAATTTGCCACACAGAATATATACAAACATTTATGACTGCTTATTTACCATGAGTGGGCAGCCTAGAAATCAGAGAAATAATTAAAATCTAGTAATGGTATACTTTGAAAATGGGAAGGAAGTCTCTTATTTTCAACACTATCCTGTATCTCACATTTATTTACTCTTCCCCCTTGCCTCAAATATCATTACTTCATGTTTGAGGATTATGTTCATGCAGTTCATACACCACCTGCTGTGCTTCAATCTACCATGCTGATATTACATATTTTCTTTCCCCAATTATATATGAATGGAATTTTGTATAGGAATTCATACTGGTAATGTGAGTTGTTGTACTTCTGTGTAGCTTGGGAGAGGGGTGTCTATGTAACAAATATGCATGTCTGTGTATTTTTGTGTAGCTTGGGGAATGTGTATCTTCCAGTCTTCCCCTCTTAAAAACTTAGTTTACCCTTCAAAACTATTATTTTTAAAAGGCAACTTCAAATACTTTTAACTCTTCCTTTTTTTGTCAGAAGTTATATAAATCTTTTCACATTGATAATATAAGACCTAGAAAAACTGAGGACCAAAAAACCCTGGTGTAGTTTACCATTTAAATATATTGATATCCTATCTCAAAAACATTTTTCAAGGTAGTTTACAGAGAATTAAAACCCACATAACAGATTCATTAGAAAGGTTTTGAAAAGCTATCAAATAGTCTTTTAAAAAGTTAATGGAACAATAAACACAGTGGGGAGGGGAGAATCCTATACCTACCACCCAATGTATCCATTCCATATATGGAGTGCCATAAAAGAAATCCTTTCACTAGTAACCACTTAAATAATGGAAAAATGGGCATTGCTAAATAGATTTATCAAGGTACGGTCAGGTAGGTTTATGAAAAAAATACAAATCTAGAGATACATCTAGATATAAACTATTCATTCTGGATGGTTATTTAAAGATACTTAACAGAGGGATCCAATTACTTACACTCTCTCATGAGCAATGGACTACTAACCTCTGTATCTTATCAATCATCAGCACTCCACAAAAAGAGCAATCAGGGAAAAGTTATACACTTTTAGAATGTTTCACAGATTATCTCTAATTGTTATTGTTATTGATATTTTCTCCAGGTAGGACACAAACTACATTTAATGTACAAATGAAATTAGAAAAACTCAAAAAATTGTTTTTAAAGACAATCACATTAATATATATATATATATATATATATATATATATATATATATATTCATATTCATAAAAGTATAAAATACTTTTCTAAAATAAAATGCAAGTTATAAGCTAAAATTGTCAAAGTTAAAACTAAGAACATAGTTTCTTTCATCCTGATTAAAAAGGTCTCTTTACTCCATATTGTATTTATTTTTACACAAGACAGAGATTTCTAAAGTTTTTGAAATGTTACTTCATTCTAAATTTTCTCTATCTTGCTTTTATCTCTAGAATAAACACAGTGACTGAGAAACCAGAATTTGAACATCAGTGAAAAAAAAATAGTAAAAACTGAAGCTGCAACATGCAACCCAAATTTAATTTGATATCACACATATAGGGTCCGAGTAGTAAAACTGCAGGATGAGCAATCAATAGGCAGAATGAAAGACAGAGGCACCGTCTGTTCCTGGAACAGCAACCAGCAGTTGAGATACTATTTTTTGCAATGGTTGACTAAATATGGTCAGGGAAGAGAGAGGCAAAAGACAGCCTGGGAGTGGATGTTTCAAATGCCTGGCTGCCTATAAAGCTGAAATAGTTTTGCTAGTGCACGGAGTAGAAATGGATTCATGGGAAACAGCATATATGTGGAAATCCTGACCTCAAAAGCAGTGTTTGACCTCTAAAAATGAAAAATAACTACAAGCAACTTGTCTGGGAACTAAAATTCAAGCATGAAGAAATCAAGTCCTTTATCTATGGAGAAAGAAACAATACTTGCTTCCGAAGGGGGAGGGGGGAAATGGATAAAGGTGTATGCCGGGTTTTGTTTTTTTTTTTTTACAAACTAATGAACATTTTTGAATTATTTTCAATTATCTGAACAAGATGAGATTATCCTTCTTTGGGTTTTTCTAGCCTCTACCTTGGATATTTCTGTTTTCTGTCCTGTAGGTTCAAGAAACTTAGTTCTATGCACAACACCTTAATGGATAGGAAAAAAACAACAGATACCTCGTAAGATACGTGCTCATATTTTAATTATACTTGTTTTATAGTGAAATATGTATTCATTTTCACCTCTCCATTGCTTCCTCCCTCCCACATAATGAAGAGCTGAATCAGTGATAGAGTGAACATTCAAGATGAGATGGCTGCTGCTGATGTCTCTCTCTAGGTCATACAACTGCAAATGCTGCATGATAAGCTTACAGGTAATAGAGCATCAGAAGACCTGAATTATTCCACATATTTAAAGGATTCATGTCTGCATGTATCTTTTAATAATTTTTGTATTTGTTGTATTACTCTCAATTGCAGGTTAACATACTAGTGTGCTTAAATATCAAGTATTTCTAGTGTAAAGTGTTAAAATGGAAAAGAATCAGTTTTAATTGAATAATACCATAGCTTTACTGTTGGACAAGAAATCTTATCAATTGTATTTCAAGTATTATATTACTAATACTTTAGCATTTCAAAAAATATTAATTTTACAGTAATGCATTACCCTCTTGTTACTTTTACATTATATTCTGGATCCATTTCATTATACATAAAAGGGTAGGATGATAAGGCATGATTTAGTTATAAAGTACGTTTACTAAGAAATTAAAAATATTATTTTAGAGCATGAGCAATATAATTTAAATTTGAAACAAGCAAGTTGTAATTGTTCTGCTGCATTGCTGTTTCTTGTAGAATTGTGCTAGCTACTGCTAGTCTCTGATTTGCTCTCTATCAGCTGCACTAGCTTTTTCTCCTGAGCTGCAGAAACTGAACAACTGGCTACATTAGCTACATATTTCTTTTTTTAAAAGAAAATCCAATTTTTTACAACCTGATACTGTTTTTTTTTCTATCTTATGACTAATATGAACACAAAGATAAAATACAGTATCAGCCAACTAAACCTGTGAAGATATATGAGCTAGTAAACTTACAACGACTTTGACATGAAACAAGTATATTTTAATATGAACTTTTCTAATTTGAAAATGTTTTGCAGAAACTAGCTCACATTGTTTTGAATTAAAAGTAAAGGCCAAAAGGCCAAATCTTCACATTTACAACTTATTTTCTTTCTTGGAATATAATCATCTATTTATCCAGCTGTATTCTCATTAATTATAAAATACAACAATTGAGATTCTTCCCAAAGGTATACATCATTACAAAATAGATCATTTTTTCCACTTCACCAGATACTAATATAAATATGATAAAATATGGGTGAAGACCAATGATAATGCAAGCTCAGAGTGGAATACATGAATACATACTACCATTTCATGAAGGTATTTTGTATAATCAAACTTCAGTGAAATCATGCTGTTCGTTAGGCTTAATAGCCAATAAAAAGCCACAGAAACCTAACAAGTACCTGAATCTTTATGAAAGAACAATTGCTTTTAATGTGTTTTAAATTATTGTACAAGTAAAATACAGGAAGACTTTAATTCTCAGTAATAAGGCCAGATACTAAGAAACAAGATCAAAGACGTATTTTTAAAATTCACCAGGAACAACTATTTTATACTTTAGGTTAAAAGGGGACAAATTGTTGCTCAGTTTTATCCAGCAGCTATGAAAACCTGCCCAGAGCACATACTTCTTTATGTACCCATATGAACATATAATATTATGGAATGTAAAGAAGTATGTACTTTTGGCAGGAGTGAACAACCAGTAAAAGAAAAATAAACCATATTTCACATGAAAGTCATTATTTTTTTAACTGAAGATAATATGTAAAAGGATCAAACAACATAGACAAACATTCTGGAGAGAGAGGGGAAATAATGGGGCAATTGTTTAAGGCACTGATACTAACAATATTATCCATTTATTTATTTTATGTTTTATTAATTAAAACTCTAAATAAAAATGCACACAATACAATATACAATGCAACAGCACACAAATAAAAACAATTACAGAATGATTTCTGGATCATAATTTTGAATACCACAATAAGTATTGCTTCTGAAACTTAAAAAAACCTCCCCATGTGATCTCTTGTATAACCATCCAAATTAATACTAAAAGGATCAGTCAAGATTATTTTAGAATATGAACCTGTGAACATAAAATATGGTTCAACATAAAATATGGTTCAAAAACGCTTTTCATGTATGCTAAAATGAACATATTACGGCACATTTATTGCACATTGGCATCTTTGTTGCATTTGGCACAGCTTTGTTGCATCTGGCACAACTAAAATTACCTTGTTTCCACTGAAGATTCAGTGCAAGAGTTTATTAATATGTTTAAAGCCCAGTTACACAGCTCAAACATTACCCCTCTTGACATTATCTCATGGGGGGGGGAAGCATCATGTACCCTTGCATGTTTTATGTATTTTTACCTTGACTTTATTATTTCTTATAAGTAAATCAAGATGGCAACCACACATAATACATCTTCGGCAAAATGTATTTTTCCCACAACAACAACCCTGTGAGGTGGATTAGAGAGTGACTGACTCAAGGTTACCCAGCTGACTTTCATGTCTAAGGCAGGACTAGACTCATACTCACTTAGGCTCCAGCTTGGTTTCTTAACCACTAGAGTAAATTAGCTCTCATGTATAGGAAGTCTTAAGACAGATAAAGAATTAAATATAATATGCACTAAGGTAGCACAGGCAAAGTGGGACCCTAAAATCACTGCATGCCTTTAATTTTCCCATTTGCAAGCGTGTCAATAGAATTTAATTGGGTTGATGTACAAGAAGATGAGTTGAACAATTGAGCTGAAGCAGGGCCAAGATTTTGCTCTTTTAGCATCTCAGGGACATAATTAGCCTATTGGCTCCATAATGCCCCTATTTTATTTCATAATATGAAAAAAAATCTGTGGGGAATTGTGCTGCTATTTGGCAGTGCTAGCCTGCAAGATATTACAGTCTCAAAAAGACGAGATTGCTTGCAACACATGGCTTTTCCATCTATTTGAAATCATTACTACAGCTGGAAAAAAATGAATTAAATAAAGTTCCTCATTATATTAAACATAAATTAATCAGAATTAAATCTGAATATATATTTATTTAACAAACAGAAATTACGTTCGATAGGGGAAATATTATTCTGTAACTGCCAAGGCAATCTTCACCCACCTTTATATATTCAAAGTGTAAGAATTTTTGCCAGATGGTAACAGCATATATGCTAGAAATCTGTGTGGATTAGACACAGATCCTTTTTTTTCTAACATTTGTTTTACTTTGCTTTAGCCTATGATTAAAAAAATGTTACAGCAAACAACTTAAATCAGTATGTATGTCAGAATAAGTCTATATTTTGAAACAGTTTATTTCATCAGACAAAAGTAAATCAGCTTAAGTTTGGCAGATTCAGTATCACTCCTATTTGCAAAATTAATTAAGATATTCTTTAAGGTAGAACATTTTTATTTAATTCTGTTCAGAGAATAATTGAACATCTAAAAGGCCAGCATTCCCATTGTTTAATATTAACCTAATTATTCTTTAGAAGAAAATCAATACTGTTTAGGTAAATCTTGTTTTTAAAATATCTCATTATTTTAAAAATAATTTATTTTAATCTGTCATGATTAGTTACATAGAAATTTTACTGGTTATATACAAAGAATTTTAGTATGTAAAATATACAATAGTTTGCTGACTGAAAAATTCAAAGTAGGCCAAACTTTATAGTATATGACACCTAAGCATCATATTTTAAATTTAATTTCTAACTGCCATCCCTTAAGATTTTGTTTATTCATATACAGATTTTTCTGCCAGAAAAAATGATACCCTTTTAGTTCTTAAGAATTTAACAATACATTTGTTATTTAAACAGAAATTTAAAAAATTCCTGCAAAATAAATTGTTCTGTACCTTCACTACACAATTAATTAGAATTCATTGAATAAATGTGCAAAGCAGAAATAAATACTGGTATTGTCATTAACACATTTTATTCTATAATCAACAGATTGATGATCAGAGAACAGTTTTCACTAGCAACAAAGTTGGCAAACCTGACTGAATTCTATGAAGCGCTGCCTATTTCTAATAATAAGTCATCTGAGCAATAAATTAAAGATTAACTTCTGAAGGGTCACATTTTAAAAATGATGGTTTATAAAGTGAATAACATACTTTGTATTTTTGCCTAAAACATAATTCTACACCAGCACTAAAGCAAGCCTTATATAAAATTATATATGCAGCTTTATAAAAACAAATCTTAATACTTCTTTGAACATAATCAGTCATGCTAAAATGTCACCTCCCTTATTTATGTCAGCTGCTGAATTCTAAGTACAAACTGAACTCTGGACATCTGCTGACACAGTTGTAATTCAGACATCTCAACCATTTGACTGACAAGGATAACAGATGCTGACATTATCAAATGCTGCTATACTTCTTTCCATGGTCACTTTTTGCCCTGATATAGCCAGTACATGAAAACTTCTGCCATCTAAAAGAATGCTTGAACAGCTGGACCAGTGCAGTCCCATATTATTGACAAAAATAGATACAGTTTTAAATGTTCAAGTCTTATATATGATAAATTTCTATTAAACCCTAAGCATAAATGTACTGTATATTTAGAGAAACCTGTCTTTGCAATAATATTTTTCATATAACTTATGCAAGCCCAAATTAATCTTACCCCAATTTAGCATGGCTTACAGTTCACATGTCTTCAAACAAAATGAAGTCTACACTTAAAAATGAATCCCATTTTATTAACTAAACACATATGCATATTAAATTATATTGTGAAATATGATAATTATATTCCAAAAATGGTGAAATCATTTTTCAAAAACAGATGTAGATAAAATATGTATAGAACAAACCTGGTAACAAAAGAAGTCTTTTAAAATAAAACTCATCTTGGAAATATTAACTAGAGTTATATTGGGAACAATTATAAAAACCTTATGAAACTGTTCTCTAATTAATTCTTTTCTGTAAACTTCTGTAAAAATATATTCACATTCTACCCAAGAAACACAAGTAATTAAGAAGGAGAATTACTGCAAGCCATAATTGTTTTCTTTGATGGCTTAGGTTTTCAAGTTTATTTTTTTCTACCTTTAATATAAAAATAAAGCATTATAAACAAAAATTAAAAGAAGGGAGTATATGATTCCCCATATCTGCTTTTTATTTAATGGAGAAACAGCTGCATGCTTCCTAAACTTCAATTTATTTATTTAATAAATGTATATGGACAACCATCTCCTATAAATGGTTCTGAGCATCTAACAATTAAAATAAGAATAAAACCAGAGTAAAAAAGAAGTATAATTGAAATTAGAAACAATATAAATAACAAAAAATAGCAGCAGAGAACATTCATGACATCATACCTTCATTATAATCATGCTCAAGAAACTGGCTCACCATACAATTGGAGTCCCAGGCTTGATGGCAGAAGTTTTCAATGCTTTGCTTAAGCTGGTAAAATGGAATCAAATCACATGTTTAATGGATTTGGTCCCCTTCAACCAGCTGTAGCTATGTATTGATCACTACAGGACAAGTGGTTTTATCAACTATTTTTTACATAATAGGAATATTAAAGAGGGAAAGCCTATACAAAACCGACTATCAGAATCTATTCTGGGAAGACTAACATAACTTTGTTCCTTTTCTTTTTTTCAAGACAATGTTGATTCCTGAGGATTTTATAGATGCATTTATTTGGTTTTCTTGGCAAGAATACTGAAGTGGTTCGCCATTACTTTCTTCCAGTTTGGACTTCCCACTGTAGCCTATAGTATAACTATTTGCCAGCCATCATCCATCTAAATACTATGTGGGTTTGATCTTGCTTAGCTGAATTCTTAGATATTATGCTTCCAAAAGAAAAGGTTTGCATTAGAAATTGAGCATGTACTGTAGGAATTTTACTCTGTGAAGTCTCTTTCTCTTGTGTATTTTGACCTGACTAGACCAGAAGCTAATGTAATTTCAGCACTGGTGATGGATGATCATCCTTTACCTGAACTTTAAGAATTTTGGAACTAATTAGACAGCTGATATGGCATGAACAGTTTTGCTATCAACAGAGGAAATAACCTGGAACACAGAAGGAAAACCTAAAGGGACTACTGTTGGTGGTCCACATTCACTCCAGTATTCACTGCCTAAGGTGACTATCTGTAATGGCTGAAGCTGCCAAGGGCAGAAATATAATTTAAAAAATAAGATTGTATCAAAACACTGTATAGAATGGGCAGAAAAAGTATTTTACCAAATAGGGGGAAAAAAGGAGACAAAGAACTTAAATCCTGAACCTGACTTATTAACATAGTTGGATTAATAAAAAACTGCAGTAGTTAATCTTTGTTATTAGAGCATATTTTGCAATAAAAGCAATTTATGTATTTGAAACTTGAATCTTCCAGTGCTAATCTCATGAATGCACATTTGCTTTCCTAGAAATTCATTTCCATGCCCAGGGTGAAGCTATAACAAGAACCGGCAATTCTCAGATTGGATAAAACCATTATGTAAACAACAAATGATGTTTCATAATCTCAAGTACAGGAAGATGTTCAAATATCTCCAGATGCAAAAAAGCAGAAGAAAAGCCTAGAATTTAAATGGAGGAAGAGGGGGAGAAGGAGGAGGAGATCTATGTTCTGTAGTTTATAGATTTTCTCCACACATGTGGCTTTTATCTTTCTGCAAGAAAGCAGTTCATCCTGCAATGTTGTATTTATGAGTCTATGGTTTGTTTGTAGAATCAATATTTATTGCTGTGCTTGCCATAAAGTCTAGTACCATTTTACTCTGTTGAAACAGCTAGCCTTCTTTAGTAACGTAAGAAAGTAAAATATGAGATAGTGATCACTACTAACTGAAAGTTTTTAAAAGGGACAAATTTATCGTTCCCTATTAGCTATAATAGCTTAAGAAATCTTCAGATTTAAATGCAATTGGTCTAAAAATAACAGATACAGAATGAAATTAGTTATGAGACTTATATTTATGTTTTAACTGTGCATTTTGGGGATTTGGGGTTAGACTTTGGATCTTATCCATTATGGCACACAGATGGGATCTCATAGATAATGTTTCTATCTTCTACAGAAGCTCAAGTTATAGTTAAAGCTGATTCTTCACTTTCTGCATATGAACAAAATAAAGAATTAAATTAGTAGCAACTACAAATAGGGTGACAAAAATGTATGCAACATCTTTTCTTTTTCCATTAAATTAACACTCACTGTTCTAAAACATAAATTAAGCTACAGTCCGAATAAAAATACCATTAAATCACAAGACTTCAGTGAATTACTGTTGGATAATGTATTTTCCCATCTACTGCCTTGTAGTTTTCAACCCAAGTTCTGAAGGCCAGTTTTCAATTAATAAGCTAACTCCAATCTAAAAAAAAATGTGCTGCCAAATAGATACAGACATTATTGATTCTACTACTTACTTTCATAATTGAGGGATCTGTGGAAGACATTTTTTCATCCAAATACAGAACCTGTCTTCATGACTACTAGCATTACATTATTAATAACATTCACATTAACTATTGTTGTTGTTAATTGCGAAGTCGTGTCCGACCCATCGCGACCCCATGGACAACGTTCCTCCATGTCTTCCTGTCCTCTACCATCTTCTGGAGTCCATTTAAGTTCACACCTACTGCTTCAGTGACTCCATCCAGCCATCTCATTCTCTGTCGTCCCCTTCTTCTATTGCCCTCAATCTTTCCCAGCATTAGGCCCTTTTCCAGTGAGTCCTTCCTTCTCATTAGGTGGCCAAAGTATTTGAGTTTCAACTTCAGGATCTGGCCTTCTAAAGAGCAGTCAGGGTTGATCTCTTCTAGACATTAACTATTACAGAATGATTAAGTGGCAAATGTACTAGCCAAAGCAATGGCCCATGGTTTGCCAAAGATTACGTATGTCATCCAAACAACAATGCACAGCATTTTCAGACACTGCAAATAACATATTGTTAACTATGGCTTCTAATAAATAGATTTATTAAGGTGATATTAATTTACAAAATGTAATGCCATTCTGTGAACAGGCACATATTCTTCTGGTAGCGTACAATATTCAGATTCAAAATGAAAAAGTGTTTTAAATTTGGCATAATCATCTCACTGAATCTTTCAGTGGCATTTTAAAAGTTGGGTCTCTTCTTGTCTTGAAGCATGCCCAAAATATGCTACTGACATGTCCATGCTAAATCCAATAAACCTTTCTCACTTTAATTGCTATCATCTTAATTCAGGTACTGTACAAACTTTCAGTATATATTAGTCAGAGAGAAACATGGACAGAATTTCTAAATAAAAAGATAGTTAATGATTACAGAATATTATTTAAAAAATTCAGCCAATAGTTCTCTTTATACATTCATTTCAATTCCCTTTTGGGCAAGAGCAATTTTAGTTACACTGACATACCAGCAAGTCATGACATAAATTACAGCTTTTAAACTTAATTACAAGATTGGGATTATCATAAACTGGTTGAAAATTAAACTTTTTTAAAAGTAGTCAGATCTAAATGAGTCTGTGGCTGAAATCAGAAAATGTTATAGTGTGCTTCACAGGCACAAGAAGAGTGCTAGTGAATTGGGCCAATGGCCTGTCCAGTTCAGCACTCTTTGTTCAACTGTGTAGAGAGTAGTTCTCAACCTTTTTAATGCCACGACCCCCAACCGGTCGCAAGTCGACTACTTAACCGGTCGTAAGTCGAGGACTACTCAACTGGTGCAGCACCGTTTGCAGAATGGGACTTTTGGCGGGCTCAGCAGGGCAGAGACAGCCTGGACAATTCCTATTGGCTTTTGAAAGCCAATAGAATTAGACTCTATTCAAGAGAGTCTATTCTATTGGCTTTCAAAAGCCAATAGAATAAAAGGGAGTAGCACAGCTAAGGAAAAGGGGAAAAAATGGTGGACTGCGTTGTTTGGCGACCCCGGTGAAATGGTCGTTCGACCCCAAATGGGGTCCCAACCCACAGGTTGAGAACCACTGGTGTGGACTGACCAGCCAGCTGCATTAGATCAAACATGGATAGGACAGTGATAGTCCTATACTGTTGTTGCTTCTCAGCAGATGACATTTAATATATTTGCATATGATTCTGTTTCAGCAAGTAATAGTATGAAGGCTCAGAAGAAGGGATCAAAGACTAGCAAAAAATACCAGGGCTGTAAGATAGTCTAGAAAATCAAAACATATCCCAGAGGAAGATGCTCACAATTCAATTTTGCTTTGTTGTTTTAATTACCAGCTATATGAATTGATTAGGAGTCAAGTTCAATTCAAGGGCATCTTTATCTCAGCTGCAATCCCAAAAGAAGCAAACAGTCAACAACAGGGGTGTCAAACTGCTAGCCCACAGGCCGGTTGCATCATGCAGAGGCCGCGCCCACCCCAGCTCCAGCAATGCAAAAAAAGTCACGATACATCGCAACACATCACGTGACATGTTGAGTTTGATACTCATGGCCAACAAGAATAGTAGTCACCGATGGAATTAATTTCAATGAATTTCTCTTACCATTTTAAAAACTAAATCAGCCATCATGTCTGATGGCAGCAAATTCCACAGCTTAACAATAAGGCTTGGGCAAAGCCTTGAAAAGAGAGGCTTCACAATATGCATAAGCCCATATGAAGCACTTATTCACAAATCATTAAAGAAGCCATAAGGTTTGCAAGGTTCATGCAGCTGTTTTGAAAGAGGCAAAAGCAAAGCCAAAGGGTTGTATATGACCACACATATGGAAATAGTCAAGAGCAGCTGCACAAGCTTTGCAAGCATGCTTTAGCAATTTGAAAAGAGGGGCTTTGTATACATATCCTCATGTTACGAAGCACTTCTTTAAAGGCTTTTCACAGTTCTGTTAATTATTCATTCTGTAAAGTAATCAGTGGTGTGAGCTGGGGAGGGGGAATGACAAGGGAGAGAAGATCAGATAAAAGTCCCTCTCCTTTTTTCATATATTGCAATTCTGGTCACATACCCAAAGAGGCGTAGGTTGTTGCACAAGTACAATATTTTAACAAAAAGTCAAAGATCCTGTGGAGATGCTAAAGATAGTACTTTGTTTTATTGGTCTTAAACATCCTCCATAATTAGTTTCAATGGGTGATTCTGAGTTTTAACATCACAGCAGAAAAAGAAAAATATTATATTGATTCGGTTGGCTTTGACTTTGCATATTTGGTTTGTAACCTATGTATATTAATCATAATATCAGCATTGTTATTCCGCAAGCTTTTATCCCATTCCTCTGCACAACTTAACAGCATGCCTCAAATTCATCACTCCTTAGTTTGTTAGTAAGAACTTGGGCATGTATTTGTTGTCATAATGCTGCTTCACATTAAGTTTATATATGCATGTTCACGTTCTTTTATACAGTCTTAATCTTTGCAAAATGAAGTAAATGTAATTCTAGATTGCCTCATGATGCTTTTACAGGCTGTAGTTGTATGGGAACAAACAACTGACTGCACACAAAACCATTAACTATGTGGAAAATTTAGTATAACCTGCATTTGTTCAAATACTCACTACATTGGTTCTTTATTGCACAATATAATTCAATACTTCAACTACTGAGCTATAGAAAAATTAATGTTAAAACTCTTCTGAATTAATGTTAACATTTTCCCTATAACACTTTGCTTATCAAACATTAGAAAGCAGTAAACTTTTACAATACCTTGGATTTCCCCTTAATGCAGCATGATGAAGAGCATTAAATCCATTGTTATTTGTAATAGTAACATCTGCTCCAGCTTCCAGGAGGACTGCTAAAATATCATCACGCTTTTTACTTATTGCATCATGAAGAGGTGTATCACCCTCAGAATCCTAAAAATAAATATTGGTCAATTTATATCAATTTCTTTATCTCCCTCCTAACTACCCATCAAACTTCAAGAAGAAAATAGTTAGATATGAAAAAAATGTATTAGTGTTTGGACAGAATAAATCTGTATAATTTTGAATTGACTTCTTAAATTAACACAACAAAATAACAACATCCTCTGTATAAATGTTAAGGTGCCTTATACCATGAAAGGCATCCATTCTATTCTGCTTACCCCAAAGCAAAGTGATTTAATATATCTTTTCTCACTGACTATATAAGCTAAGGTTGATATGGGATACTGATGAAGCATATTTCTGGCAAATGATAGAAGGGGCAAGGTTATTGTTTCAGGCCATAAACTGTAGAGGTAGCATCAAGCACAGAAACTATCAGACAGAACACCTACAGAAAATATTCATGGGTATGATCTATCGATGCAATAAGAAAACAGAAAATGTCTTAAAAGCAGTTTCAGAGAAAGTTCATTTCATGCTACCTTTTAGATTAGAAAGAAAAATGCCACTTTAGTATCTCAATAAAACAATGTAAAAAATCAAATTTAACATATAACACAATACATTTCTATAGAACCAGACATTTTAACTAAATAAAATTACTAAAAGACTGTCTCCTCCCATCTATCTAAAAGAAAACCCAGCAAAGTTCAATTAAAAAGTAATATCCTGATGTAAGAATGTAATAAGAGCTTTGCTGAATTTAGCCAACAGCACATGTAGTCAAGCTTTCTGTATCACATAATGGCCTATCATATGAATTTCGGAAATTCACAGACGCGGACAATACCTGTTAATCCCTGGCAACTTTTATTTGAGATATGCTGTCCATATTTCAGAAGGTAATGAACAGCCAAGTCACTACTGACAGCCTGATCTTTTATGAATTTCTCCAGTCCCTTTTGACAAACATCTGTATTAATAGTCATCACCATGTTGGATGGTAGCAAAGGCAGGTATAAACAGTAACAGGCCAACAATTTCACAAAACTAAAGGGCCATAAAAGAATTCCTGTTTACAATGGCATACATTTCCATTTAGAAGATAATTGTTCCTCAGATTTTATAGAAACCAAAAGCACTGCTCTTAGTTTATTCATCCACATCACATCCAATCTACTATTACCTTCAATATATTCAACGTTTCCATATGTCCTGAAAGGAAGGATGGAAAGCTGAACACTACCATGTTCTGATATTACACTCCAAATTATAACTTAAAGTTAAATTAAAGCAAGTTAAATTACCTGGAGACTAGGATGGCAACCAAAGTCCAGTAATGTCTTCACAACTTGGAGATGACCTTTATTCACAGCAATATGAAGTGGTGTCTGTCTACGCTTATTGCGAGCATTGAGATCTGCACTGCCTCTATGTAAAACTTCTATCACAGCTCCTTCATCACCAAAGGC